TTTAAATGTGATATTTGTGGTCGTTTTGGTCATTTGGCCAAATATTGTTTTGATTTAAAAAGAAAATCTTATTTGCCAAATATTTCTAGTAGGCCACATGTTTTTAGATGTGATGTTTGTGGTAGATATGGCCACTTAGGAAAGTTTTGTTTTGATAATGTTTCACATTTGCAAAATAATCTTAAAAGACCATCTTTATTTGCAAATGATTCCCGTGCACGAGCTAATGGTCATCCTCTTCATTGCACTTATTGCAATCGAATGGGTCATTTGCATAACTATTGCTATGACCGGACCCGTGCACTAAATGTGCCTAAGAGGGTTCATAACCCTAGGGCCTTGAGCTTAAATGATAGGGGTCATGTCCCTAAATCTTTTGGTACCAAGAGTTCTTGGGTATCAAAACAAATTTGATTTTCAAACTAAGAATTTTAATGTTTTTATCCTTCTTTATCTTTGTTTTTGAAAATTATGCTTTGAAATCTTTTTATATGAAAACAATTTATAATTGATAAAATCTTTTGTTTTCATGATTATTAGTGTTGATTTTTATGAGAGGACTATGTTTATATAACCCTCCGGAGTTATTGGGTGTTTATTCCCAAATATTGTTTACCGGGTGCTAAAAATGTTTATATGGGTTGTTACTAGTTCAAAAGCTAGATATGGTTTTTTGATATGTTGCTTTGAATTCATTATATTTCACTTATATGATGATAGTTATATGTTTGTGCTCATGGATCATCTATTCGTGCCTTATAATGTATTCTATATGTGATTTGATTAAGTCCTACAAATTTTTTTTTGATCAAACATCATTTTTGGTTTAAATGGTTGATTTATGATTTCATTTGGTTGATTTGTTTTCATTCGAAAACTCTTTTTGCATGATTCTCATGTTTTTCTCTCTTTTGATTTCATAAATCTATTTTTTATACATGGTTTTTAGGCTTGTATTTTGAGACACCTATTTATCGTGACATATCATTACGTGTTCTCCTTATCTTGTTTGAATGTGAGTGATTGTTAGCATATCTTTTATGCTTGCTCACATATTTGCCTTGATCTTTATTGCATATATTTTATATGGCATTTTGATAGGGGGAGCTATTCCACAGTCTATGTTTGTTTTATACTCACCTATGCTTATTGATAGGGGGAGCTTTCGCTCTCTTAATCCTTTTGTCCCCTTTTTGATGTTGTCAAAGGGGGAGAAATATTGTGAGTATATCATTTCTTGCTTATATGCATGATATATTATACTTTGTATATTCATTTTCCTTCATTGCATATATCCTTTTTGTAAATTGTTTGTCATCATCAAAAAGGGGGAGATTGTTGGCCTTCTTGTTTTGATGATGTTTAACAAACAATTTATTACTAATGTTGTTTGTCTAGTGTTTGTGCATTCCTATGTTTTGTAGACAAACAACGTTGTTGGAGGATGGATGGAATAGAGCTTCAACGATCATATCCAAAGGAGGTTGGCGGAATGTCGGTGAAGCCTTGCTATTCAAAGTTCAAGATCCAAGTTCAAGCTTCATCCGCGAGATTACCAAGTCAAGCTTATTGAAGATCAAGATCATTGCTTGGGTAATTTAGTTTAGGAATTTATATTATGTGTGTTAGTACTTTAAGCTCAATCATATACACACATACACGTTTTGGTTTTTGTATATATATAGTTATATATATACATATATGTTTTGGTTTGATAGTTTTCAAGTTTTACTATGAAACAAATGAATAGAATTGGAAAATACTATTTTGTTTCATGTTTATATGCCTATATATGATTTCACCTTTAACAAGCTTATATTTAATGAAATCATATTTAGTGTTTTGAATATATTGCATAGAATATGCAATTTTATGAAAATATTGTATTTCTAGGTTATAGACTTCATAACAACATGTTATATCTTTTATCAAGTCTATACAATCATTTCATAAGGTTTCAAAATGTTGTTTAAGTCAAAATATCAAAATATCAATTTTCAGGTTTTCATGTTTTGGACTATTTTGTAAAATGATGATATTTTTCATTTGGGAAGTCCTTTTTCGAAACCAGTCGTTGTAGCATGTTTATTATCATGTCTACAATCATTCCCCAAAGTTTTACATTTTTTGGAATTTATTTGATATTTTTAAACAGGGTTTTAAAATCAGCAAAACAGTTTTTGAATATGTCAGATTTCGGTCGACCGCACCGGTCGACCGAACCTGAGGTCAAAAGTTTCCTGGCCGACAGAAGCCTGTCGGTCGACCGGTCCGGTCGACCGATGAAAATTTTCGGTCGACCGACGAATTTTTCGGTCGACCGACGAGTGTTCCTTCAGTTTGCAACGGCTAGTTTTTTGACCGTTGCCTTGGGGTTGTGTTTTGTCTTTTGCTCAGGTTTTTGGCTGAGTTGAGAGAGGGTATAAGTACCCCATTGCCTTCAACTCTTAAACTAACCAAGAGGGTTTTTAATCAAGTTTAATAAAGTTTTTAACAAGGGTTTTAGTTTGGTTTAAGTGTGTTTAAAAAGCTTTTAAGCAAATTGAGAGTTTGTTTTTGTGATTCAATTCTACAAGAGCTTGAGGAGATCATCTATTGGTGTTTGGGCATTCAACTATTCTCCCTCCAACTCTTGATATATTGAGAAGTTTTCTAAACTCTATTTCTAGCTTTTTTATATATTTGATTATCATTGTTATTAAGCTAGAACTACATTGAGTTTAGTTTTGATTTATATCTCTTTGTTCACACACAACCTTTTGAGCTTATTGTATTTACATTCATAGTATAATTTGGGGTTGTGGGTTTGTGACTAAGAGTTGTGCTTAATTGAGTTCTCACCTTGTTTTGAGAACAATCATTTGTCATATTTGTGCTTATTGTGAGAATCACTTTGTAATACACTTGTACACCGAGTGAGGAGTGTGTGGTGAGAGTCGGGGATCGTCCCAAGAGGAGTGGCGTCGGTTGACGTGCCTAGGGAGAGGTTGTAACCGAGCACTTGAGGGAGACACGGCTAGGTCCAACACTTAGTGGGTGTAGAGTGTGATTGCAAGAGTGTGAGTTGTAGAGTTTTCGGTTAGCTAGAAAACCGAGTGTGTAGAAGAAGTTCCGGCTTCCAAACCGGATTGTGTTAGTGGATTTCTCCCCGGGAGTTGGGAGCGGAGACGTAGGACGGAAGGTCCGAACTCCGTGATCATATTGCTTGTTTGAGTTTGTCTTTGGCGTAGTTGTTTTTGCATTTATCTTATATCGCCAATTGTGCATTACTCATCCTTTTTATGATCCACTATCTAGTTTATATTGTTTACCCTTGTGCTAGTTTATATATCCTTGCATATATATTTTGCTATATATCTCTTTGCTAGGATATATCATATTGTATATTGCTTATCCTAGCTCATATATATTATTGCATTTCATACTTGCTAGGATAACTTATTAATTAGTTTTTAATTGGTATTTAATCGGATTAGATTAGCATAAGACCCTAATCACCCCCCCTCTAGGGTCTAACAACCACTTCCCGAAAAATACGGAGACGCCCTCTCCCATACCGAAGTGGCTTCCCCTCCGGTCGCCAGCCGACACTTGTAAAATGAGAGATGACTCACCTTCCAGCTCACATTTGGTGCCCGTCATTTTGCATGGCCGAACGAATCAATCTACAGAGGATCATTTTATTTATATACAAATGCTATTCGCCATAGCGAAAAAAGAAGGTTCGCAATCTAAAACCCCTTAAAGCATAGATGACACAAAAAGAAGAACATACAGTTCTTCGTCTAGACAAAGGAGCTCATGTAGATCCTTTGGGCATACACTTTATCACATTAAGAACCATATCGGTTCTTGACCTTCCCCTTCCCCACTCGAGTTTCATTAACTTGACTGTCGGAGTAACCACGGGGGAACCGGTCCCCACCCTCTTACGAGTTCTCCTAGTCCGTGCAACGTGGACATCAAGCCCTCGTTCAAGAACCAGGGGAGTAGCTATGTACATCTTGCCCTGGGCAGCTGTCCAGGGCAAGAAAAAGTTTTTTTTAATACCCCCAGCCAGATGCATCCCCCCACGGTCCCACGTCACTCCCACCTGCCTTTTATTTCTCCCCCACATATTTCCAACTTTCCAAGTGAGCAGAGATTCAAGAACAGAAAAGGGACGGCCAAAAAAACCCAGGCCTAGGGTTTCAAAATTTTAATGGCGGAGATCTTGGTCAGGCTTTGAGTCTGAGCCCTCTCTCACAGTCTCACCGGCTGATCCGGCTCCCCTCACCTCCTCGCCTCCCAAGTCCCAAAGCAAGCCCTCTCACAGGCTTTGAGTAAGCAACCTCTCACAGTCTCACTTGTTTTTTCTAGTTCCTCCTTCAAGCTTTGGCATTTCTTGTGATGTTTAATCTGTCTTAAGGTAATGATTAAAACACAATAATCAACTAGCAATGAATAGATCAAACAGACTAACATCATGCAGCCACATATAAAAATGTGAAATACCAGGGTCCAGTCACTTATTCGTTCAATTTCACATTGAAATTTGATGTGTAACAATTTCTAAAGTTTAAAACATTACAATCAAGTAAAAGCTAGAGAAGAAAATATCATCAAGTCAGGTGCATCCATGGCATGGATAGTTTAGACTTTAGAGGTGTTCCAGAAGTGAAACAAACAGAAGTATTTTTTTTCATGCTCTAGCACTTTGTTAGTGAATTGCGAAACAACCAAAAGGTAATGTCTTTTTTTCATGCCCATCACATTGTCAGTGAATTGTGAAATAGCCCTAGCACTTTGTCAACGAATTGCACTACATTGTTCCAATCATATTCTAACGAATCACTCACCAATGTTTCATAATTGGACTCTGACAGTCCTAATCATAATCTTTTAATGTGCTTCTTAATGCATGCAATCTTTTAATATCCTAATCACAATCTATTAAAATTTTGAAGCTAAAATGTCTGGAAAGGGAATGAAAACTTTATTTTCATTTTATTCCAAAACAGACATTATTGGAGCCTCAAGCGAGGCACCGCCGACGGAGCCAACGGTTGATGATAAAGAAGAAGATCAACATCCTCCTAAAATTCAAAAGGTCAAGGATACCGTATCTTATGATCCAGGATTACGTCAAGCAATATGGAAATATCCCTAAAATTCAAAAGGTCAAGGATACCGTATCTTATGATCCAGGATTACGTCAAGCAATATGGAAATATCCATATAAAGAACAAGATGAGGTTCGACGTCGTTACATAGCAATAGGGCCATGCCAACCAAACCTCCAAGAATATCCAAGAAATAAAGACGGGCGTAGCTTTCGATATGATTGGTTCAAGACTTATGATTGGTTAGAGTATTCTGAAACAACTGACCGTGCCTATTGCTTTCCTTGTTTTCTTTTTGAGAGCAATTCCTCCCAACAACATAAACAAGAAGCTTGGACTTCGAAAGGATTTAATAGTTGGAAGAGAGCTGGAGGAAAAGATAGTCATTTTCGAGTGCATGAAGGAGAAACAGGATCAATACATTAAAAAAATGCTTTAATGCTTGATGCTTTGAAAAAGCCATCTCAAAACATTAAGAAACATTTGACCTTACAAAATGAAGCTGAAATAAAGAAAAATCGCTTGCGTGTTGTCACTACGATTAATGCTATTCGTTGGCTAGCATGTCAAGGATGTGCTCTTCGAGGGCATTCTTCGAGGGCATGACGAATCTCTTGATTCAGCAAATCGTGGAAACTTTATTGAATTGCTCAAATATAGTGCAACTCTTAATGTGCAAGTTGCAGAGGTTATCTTAGAAAATGCTCCCGGGAATGCTAGTTATACTTCACCGATGGTTCAAAATCAGATTATGGAAATTATGGGTGACTTGGTGAGGAAAAAGATTTGTGAAGAAATTGGTGACTTTAAGTTTTGTATTTTAGTTGATGAATCTCGAGATGAATCCAATTGTGAGCAAATGGCTATCGTGTTAAGATTTGTTGATGCAGATGGTTTTATTAGAGAGAGGTTTTTTGATGTAATAGGGGTTGAAGACACTACCGCACAAACTCTCAAAAAGATGTGTTCACTTATACTTGATCGTAATGGATTGCTTGTACAGAATATAAGAGGACAAGGTTATGATGGGGCTAGCAATATGCGAGGTGCATGGAGTGGGTTACAAAGTTTATTTTTGCAAGAATGTCCATATGCATACTATGTTCATTGCTTTGCCCACCGCTTACAACTTGCATTAGTTGCAGCACCAGGGGAATTATCTATCATTGAGTTATTCTTTCAGATGTTAAATTGCATTGTGAATTTGGTTCGTGTTTCGCCTAAGCGGAATCAACAACTAAGAGCTGCACAAAGGGAAGAAGTTAAAAATTTGATGGAAAGAGGTGAATTACAAACAAGTACGGGAGGTAATCAGCATACTACTTTGAGTCGACCTGCTTCTACTCGTTGGGGCTCACACTATTCTTCTGCTTGTAGTTTGCTTGGTTTGTATAAACCTGTGTGGAAAGTTCTTGGTATTATAAAGACAGATGGGTTGAATAGAAAAATTCGTGCAGAAGCTAGTGGTGGGTTTACTACAATGGGTTCATTTGACTTTGTTTTTAACTTACACTTAATGGTTGAAATAATGGGAGTAACAGAAGTACTTTGTCAATCACTGCAAAGAAAGGATCATGATATTTTAACTGGTATGGATTCTATCTCTATTACAAAAACTCTTCTCTGTGAGTTGAAAGGTGATGACAAATGGCAAAATTTTCTACACTCTGTAGTATCCTTTTGTATGAAACATGAAATTGATATACCCGATATGAGTTCTCGTTATGTGAAGGGCACAGGTCGTTCTTGTCAGCAGAGTGATGAAATTACAATTGAGCATCATTATCGCTTTGATATATTATATGAAGTTGTTAACACACAAGTGATGGAGTTAAGTGAAAGATTCTCCGATAGAGCAGTAGAACTTCTAAGTCTTAGCTCTGCTTTGGATCCAAAAGATTCTTTCAAATCATTTAAAGTTGATCTTTGCATGCTTGCGAAGAAATATTATCCCCAAGATTTCAGTGAAATGGAGATTAATTATCAGCTGAGGCATCAATTGCAACATTATGAGCATGATATGCAGTGTGATCCTGATTTTCAAAATATTACTACACTCTCAGGATTATGCCAAAAGTTGGTAAGTAAAGGAAAATCCAAAAGGTATCCTCTTATTGATAGGTTGATTCGGCTAGTGTTGACTCTTCCTGTTTCGATTGCAAGCACGGAAAGAGCATTTTCGGCAATGAAACTCATAAAAAACATCATTGCGCAACAAGATAGGAGATGAATTGCTTGCTAATAACATGACACTTTATATTGAAAAAGAAATTACTTCCAGCCTTGACACAGAAGAAATAGTAGAGGAGTTTGATTCACGACATACTCGTAGAGCTCGACTTAGATAGATACTTCTGTTTCTGGTGTATCTCATATTTTGAATGTGTATGATACAACTTTGTATTTTTTATCAATATCTAAATCAAAGCCCTCTTAGTTTGTTTAATTGTTTTTTGCTTTGTTATTTTTTCGCCTAGGACAAAAAAAAAATTTCTGGCTACGCGCATAAAGTCGAAGAAGGGAGCGGATCCTCCAACATCCTTCATCACCCCACAACCACCCTCTTCTGGATTAATCGGCTGTTTGATATCGATCATCAACCGTTTGTATAAATAGAAAAGAGATAACTCGATTTGACCATGAACGAGTCTACCTAAGCTCATGAAAGTGTAAGCGGAATAAGTGGCTAACCCGTAATTACAAAAGGTGCGTTTGTAATTAACCCTCTTTCAATTCAAAGTGGAAACCTTTAGTCATCATGCCTCTAGGCCGCACAATCATGCTTTTTGTCCCTACATCAAATGAGCTCAAAACATGCAACCAAACTAGTTCGAGCGAAGGGGCTAAGCGATACGATACACTAGATAGATAAATCTTCATAAACCCTGTTCATTTTTTTTACCAATACAAACTCCAAATCAATTAAGAAAACATCAACTCCATTGAGAAAAGGTTGCATGCCGCTATATTAAACAAAAACAATAGTAACAAGATGTTGTATCATTATGTCTACCAAAAAGCGTGAAAAAAAAATATATCTTAGAAGTCATTAGTGAATATTAGGAAGGAACAAATTTTTTAAACAGACCCATTCCAACTTTTTATTTTCAAAACCGACTTTTTTTTTTTTATTTACCAAAACCGACCCGATTTTATGATTAGCAGATTAATCACCTTCCTAAATAGTCGGGGTTGGCAACCCCGACTATTTAGGACGGTGTTAAACCCTAATTAGAAGCATTAAACCCTAAAAATTAATGTCCTAAATAGTCGGGGTTGCCAACCCCGACTATTTAGGAAGGTGATTAGTCTGCTAATCACAAAATCGGGTCGGTTTTGGTAAATAAAAAAAAAAGGGTCGGTTTTGAAAATAAAAAGTTGGAATGAGTCTGTTTAAAAAATTTGTTCTATTAGGAAGCACAGGCAATGAGTGCAAATTGAGAACCACATGGGTTGCCTTCCTAAAGTTTAGCTGCAGGAATGATGCTTTCGCACGCACAAAGCTCGAAGATATCGTAGCGTTGTTGGGAGTAGTCAATAAAGCTCGTTCATGCTCAAACATAGAAAATTAAAAAAGATCCGAAGGCTGAAAGTTCAGCTAGCGACCCCTATGAAAAGAAATCATTTACGATAGCTTGTTCTAGAAATGTCTTTTTAAGACTCATGATTAACCTTAAATCAAGAAGAAAGTCGCCAAAAGAAGAAAAGGGAATTGAAGATAGAGCATCCACAGCTGTCTATAGATTTTTTTAAAAAAAAAAAAAATTGTAATTGCACATAGCCCCCCCTAAGTGTCCGTGTTTTGCACTTATTAACCCGATACTTTCACTATCGCAGATAGGTTAAAATATCAAAAATACACGTAGTATAAGGGGATATTCAGTTACAGCACGCAACAGGAAATGCCAAGCTCCGAGCATATTACATCCACCCATGACCATTAGCTCCGAACAACAAAAGAACGCACATAGCACGAAGAACACGAACCCTAAAACAAATCAAAAGCAGTCACAGATCGCTGGAGGCATACCCTTTTGTTGCCTCCAGGATGACAATTAGTATTACAGGATCGCCGTGATCCTTTTCCTCCTGCGTAAAAAAAATGGAAGGAGAACCGAATCAAATCGACCTACAGAACTTTTCTGCATTCTGAGAGTATAAAGATTCACCTAGGCCTGAGAGAAATAAGGAAATGACCCTCTTGTGAAAAGTTATGCTCTTATATACAGAGAACAATTCTCGTTACTGAACTCTGAATCCTCTACTATGAACAATTGGATTCAGTTCCGCTTATCCTTTTAAATCCTACATACAATATCCAAAACTTTAAACTTCCACCCTCCACAAGACATTATCACCAATCTGACCATCTTGCTTCTCGAGAGCTGCAGCCTTTGCCTGATGACTCCCCATCATCATAGCTTTCTTATTTATATCAGCGGGAGGGATGAAGCAATCCATTGAAAGGCCAGGGACATTGAAAGCAACCTCCTCAATCGCCCAAGACTCCTCCATCCTAGTCTTCGTATGGCTCATAGCAACCTCACCAAATCTGAAAAGGGTTACAACAGAACGACCAGAATGAGCAATCATCACGCCCTCAACAGAGCGATAATCGTCAAGAAACGAGTTGATTGTGGTCTCCCAATATAGTGCATCACCCCCAGTGGTTGATTGAGTTCGAGTTAGGTGTGAGTCCTCCATATGGACGAGGAGACCAGTTCTCTGGCTGAAATAACCAAAGAGATAGTGCCTTATGATTTCAGCTGGGCCTTCGCTTCTTGCTTTTAGAGTTTGAGGATCAGCAGAGAGCTTGAGGATAAAGCAATCTTCACCGTTTACTTTCTTTTCACCAATGCAACGAGCATTTGCAAACATGCTTGCAGTGGTCAAGGGATCGAGGCCCTGGTCAGAATAGTGTATCAAATCTTTGTCAGAGTCATAAATTTTAATTGGTATAGACAAAGTGAAAAACCTTGCCCATGAGGTGGCCATAGGATGCTCTTTGAGAAGAAAGGTTCATGAGGTCGACCCCAATTAAGATCTGTTTAGCTATTGTTTATCTTTTGCAAGTATTACTTATCTTCTTATTATAAGACTTGTCTTGATAAGGAAGCAAGTATACTTCTTTGATTGAATGATGCTACAAGGTAACGACATTGAGCAGAATGTTTTAACAAAACTCACCATAAAGACTGGAAGACTCGGTTCAAATTTATTAAAAAGACCGACTGCATTGGTTCAAGATCAAACAGGGGGGAAAACCTTATCTTTCTTAAATCAATAAAACAAAGTTTGATGTTTTAAAAGAATAACAGTGGTTAGAACTCTAAAGGGATTAACAATAGATCTCCAAATAAGAAAAGCAACTTGGTTGTTGTAACGTGATTAAAGAAGAATGTTTCCTATATTTAAGACCACAATCTTGAGCAGTAAGCAATTGTTATAGCTCCAGCATTAATGAGGGGGAACGTACATTTCCTTTTATCATTCTTGGATTCAATTGAACAATGTTGGATTGTTTTTTAAGAATAACGTTGGATATAAGCCCCACTGGCTCAATGCCACATCTCCAGGTAAGATAGAAAAGAGCTTGATTGTTATAAACTTATAACAGGATTAAAAAAAAATGCTTTTCTATTTTAAGACAATTTTGATCAGCAAGCAAGTATATTTCTTGGAAAATAAAGCTAAAAGAGAACTATAGGGAGGCATCACGTGTAAACAAAAATCTCACACTAATAATAAGATTTGGTAGGAATAACTCAATTCAATTCATAAAAAAAGTTGATTATCCAAGTATAAAATAGAAAAAAAAATTGAACAATATGTATCTAAAGTGTTCAAATTAAGAATTTGAACAATATGATGGCTAAAACAAAAAGGGACAAATATGAAGGCATCATGTTGAAAGAAGCTCACATTATTGATCAGAGGAAATAACTCAATTCAATCCATAAAAAGGTTGATTATCCACGAAAAACAAAGGAAAAACACTAAAATGAGCAATATGTACCTAAAGGCACGAATTAAGAGTTAAACTATATACTTAGCTAAAAGAACCAATAATTCAAATCAATTCATAAGAAAACCTAGATTGTTCAAGCATCAATCGCGGTAGAAGAATAACAAATTTTGTTCTTGGGTATACCTGAAGAGCTCGACGAAGAGGCCTAATGGGGCCCTTAGCAGCATGAGCACCATGCCAAGGGGTATGTCTCCACACAAGCTTCCCATTGCATCCAGCATGAACCTTGCTGCCCCCGACTGCGAGCTCAACATACCACATCTCAGGGGACATCTGCCAAAGCACGAACCCACCAGATTCTGCAGCCTTTGAAGCGTGGCGGTTCTTCACGACCCTCGTCGCTGTCTCTAGCTCTGATGTGATCATTTTGAGCTTGCCCATGGCATAAGAGTTCTTGATCGAACTCAGGAGCTTTACACCTCCTGATGCTGCTGTGTATTGCTGGAGGATGTACTGAGCTGAGGAGGTTTCCTGAAATCAGAAGAGGGATTGTCAGATTTTAGGAAACTTGAGGATGGTTCAAACCCATCAAACTGTAACGGAACACATTTTGCTGGCAATAATTAAAAAGAGATGGATTTTTCAAGTAGTAATACCTCAGGAAATGAAAATACTTGCATAAACAAGCATTTAAAACTCGGGGAAATGAAGTGATATCTTAATTTGCATTGTCTAGTAACTTTAAAAAATAAAATATAAACTTGTAATTGGATATAATAATAGACAGTGCATGGCCTCTTAAATCTTTAAGGGATGCAGGATATCACCTAAAGAAATGAAAAAGAATCGCCACAAAAGAACATAACTCACAAAAGATTTAAAAAAAATGAAGAAAAATAGCGCAAATTAGTGAGCCCATGTCGTCAAATCAATGCAAAACTAACGAGACAAATGAAACCCATCAAGAATCAAAGCACTAATAAACCCTCAAAAGAACACTAACCCAAAAACGTCACCAAACCCATCCAGACATTTTCTCGAACGAGTAAACCAAAACAACAAAACAAAGAGACATTAAAATAGAAATCTCACAATGGGAGTATCCTTAATGCTGAGATGCGGCAACGGCTCCCCGCAGCTGACGTGTATAGGCCACGGGCCCATGACCCCAAGCAAAACCCTAAGGTCGAACCGGCGGTGACCCGATCCAGCCAACGACGGCCGCCATCGTCAGCCGAACCAGCTCCGCGTCCTTTCGGATCACCACCATCACCTAGCCTCACCAGATCCGCCAAAAACGTAAGTAAACTATAAAACAAAAAACATTGCGGGCACCCGCTCCCGATCGGACTCCCTTCCTGCGCCCGCTCGCCGATCCCGCATCGGCGACTCCACCCACATTCTCGTGCAAGTCCGTGCCCTTCCCGCGCAGGAAGGCCGCACCCGGCGAACGAACAGGCTTTTGTGATCGTGATCGAGACCCGCCGGCGAGAGCTACGAGCGACGGCTGAGAAAAACCCCTGTTTTTTCTCCATTTTGGACTTTTTTGTAAATTTTTTGGGGCTCAATTGTAATATTCGGAAAGAGAGGGAGAGGAGAGAAATGGAAGCTGGAGGCGCGAGTGAGAAAGAGGAGAGTGAGAGGTTAAGGAGGGAGGCGGCGGTGCGGTCACCGTTGGTGAGCGTAAGGTTTTAGGTGAGGGAAAGGATGGGCTCACGGCGCCGTTATGGGAAGTTCGAAGGGTTGCGTTGCTTTTGACTCGGTTGACGGAGAGAGGAACGCGAGGTAATTTTGAAGAGGATTAGGGGCTGTTTGGTTTGCCCACAAATCGTAGAAAATGAAGAAAAAAGAAAGGAAATAGAGAAAAAGGTACAATTTATTGTAAGTTTTTCATAATATTTTTCTTTATTTTGTTTGGTTCATATAAATAAAAAAAATGATGACGTGTTAAATTCTTATCGATTAATGTGACTCACATTTTAGGAGATTCATTTCATGGTTTTTATCGAGTAATTTTTTTTCCTCGTATTCTTCATATTTTTCTTTGATTTAAGCATGATTAATTGATGGCTAATTTTTGGTATAATCTTGATACCGTCCACAAAGAGAATCGTTGATCATTTTTAATTGACGGCTACCCCCAAGTTTTCACCCAAGGAGTAACTGGGGCCGAAATGAGGGTAATTGCACGGCAAAAAAAATGAGTACGCGGGTCCACACGCAGCCGTGTGGTGGGGCCAGCTCATCAGAGAACAAAAACAGGACATTATTATTTTAATTTATTTTGTATTTTTGGAAATTGCGATACCCATCAAGTACCCGAATAGGAATTTTATTTGGAAATGTATTATCTGTCACTGGTTTCTAATGGTGTTTATAAATGGGAATTGGGTTAATGAATAATTATGCTATGTATTTATTTGCTTTTAGGTTCTTTTCTGTTACGTGTCGTAGAAACGAATATTGTAATATAGACATTTTCCACGTATAACAAATTCAAAAACCGGACCATTGTTCGTTATATCTCAAGAAGACAGAGTCACTTCGATATATAATTGTCATTAGCATAGAAAAATTATTAACTTGTTGTTCTTCTTTACTATTTTATTCTTAGATAAGAAAACATCATTAAAAAAATATCTAAAATTTCATTGGGACAAAAGAAAAGAATATTTTCAACGGCATTTTGTCTCAGTTCAAAGTAGAACTAATTGTCATAGAGGATGGCCTCAACATAGCTGCACTAACATTAGAGGAAGGGTACCTTCCACTTAATCCCCGGGAACTTTCGGTGTTCTGTAGTAAATCCTCAATACTCTTAAAATCACACTAAACCCTCCAAAATTTTTGCAGAAAATCCCAAATACCTTTTGGATAAGTTGTACTAAACCCCTAGCAACTTCCAAAAATATTTTTTTATGTTGTTTTCCCGTTCTAATTTATGGAGTTTTTCTGCAAACTGTGAAAATTTGTTGCTAGTTTTCTGTAATGCCAAAAGGGTACCGGGGGTTTAGAGTGATTTTGAAAGTTAATAGGGGTTTAGTGCAAAATGTTGAAAGTTCACAAGGGTTTAGTGTAATTTACCTTAACATGCTGTTTAACAAGCTGGCTATCAAATTTGCATTATATTCCTCTTAGGCAAACAAATTTCAAACCTTAGGTTTGCATTTCTTCAACTTACAATATTTTCACTAGATTGCCATGGATCACTAATGTAGAAGTTATTTCCTACCTTCTCAACAGAAATTTGATGATAAGAGCTTTGTTTGACAGTCCTTTTTCACAATCAAACTACCATCTTGTCATGTGTCACGCCCCGGGCTCACGGGCCCTTGGCACGTACAAGCCGTGAGACCCACCAAGAGCAACTCGATGTTGGTTAAAACCCACTGTCAAAATGCTAACACTAGTTGTTCTTGGGCATTGAGCTTCCCTATTTAAGTCACTAACATTTCTTCACATTAGTCCATGTTGGACTAAAGTAAGGGTATAACAATCATCCCACCTTACAAAGACGAAGTCATCTTCATCATGACATGACAATTGGCATATCCCAGTATCACTGCTAAGCGATATGGACTCTAGAGATGGCTCCTACGGGCTCTAGAGGTGGCTCCCACCGCATCCATACAGTGTAGTACTTAGCCCTTGTAGGCTGTCTAAAAATCACAATAGATAACTGGTCCCTACCAAATTTCAATGACTAAAGTTACAATTTGACGACTTCTACATCAGCATCTTAACAAAGAAAGTTACAATCAGTCGACTTTCCTCAAAGCTGCAAATAGAGGATTTTCATGTAGATCTAGAGAGCTTACAATTCAACAATCTTTCCGACGACTGATGAAAATTCTAATTTAGTAGCCTCACAATCAACCGTAAGAGTTACAATCTGACGGCTCTCACATCCCAAATGGCTAAGGCATAGATTACGAAACAACGATCTTCACAAACACTATAATAGAAAAGGTTATAAGTCAACAACCACTTCTAAACGCAGAGCTCACCTCTGCGTTCTGAACTCAGAACACAGGCGGCCACTGCGTTTTCAATTCTCAGTAGGCACCCAACTCTGCGTCTCAAGTCTAAGACGCAGAGTTAAGGCTTATAATGCCGATGTTGATGCTCGTGAACAAACAGTCGATGGGGGTTGCAGAGTTGCTGGATCGTCGAGAGATTGGATCGTCGAGAGTGATGGAGGGCCGCTTTCCTTCTTCGACTTTATGCCTGGTAGCTCGGGGTGGGCGGATCACCTGCACACACAAGAATCACGGGAGTACGGGCTTGTTTCCCCCATGGTACATCCAACGATCAAGTCAGCTGGTGGACTTGGGTCCAGCAATAGAGGAATAATATCTCCTTCTAATATGTGACTAGAGAATTTTTTTGGTAGTGAGGGAGAGATCGAACCTATCTTCAGGATGAATAGCGTCTGTATTTATATAGGATGTCAAGGACAAAACATGTATTTAGTGAGGAGGCGGCTCATGATGATGGCGAGGGGTGAGTTGGAGGCTGAGTCATCCTTTGCCCTATTCGTGTCGATTGATGAGTGATGACGGGTCATTTTAGCGACATAGGGAATCAGCAGCCGTTAAGGCTTGTCAGCGGGTGATGTGGAGTCACTTCTGTGACATGGGGAATCAGCAGCCATTGAGGCTTACCTGCGAGTGACGGGGAGTCGTAATGATAACCATAAATAGTAAAATAATACTGGGAAGTAATGTTTTGAGTCGCATTCGGGGGAAGTGTCAGCTTGTTACAGAGCAGCAATCTTTCGCCCGACTGAGTCTGCCTTTCGAGTCGTCTTTGGGGAGTGACGCCAGCTCGACTGGGTCTATTCTCGGGATGGCATATTTGTAAGTAACAGGAAGCACCCTATAACAGTTAGCCCCTTTCGCTTGGAAGCGACTGTGGACGGATGCAAGGGAAAAATAAATGAACAAAGACTGGGTAGAATTGATTCTGATAGTGAAGTGGCGTCCCTTCTGGACACTTGGACGTTTGACGTCATCAGGCATCACTAAGGCTGCTTAGGTTGTTCTCTTGTCAGATCACGGTTTCCTCGAGAAAAAGAGGTGAAATGTCATTCAGCAGCATTTCAAATTCCGAGGCTAGGTTTTAGCTGTGGGGTGAGATGGGCTCTAACGGTTTAGATGTGCTGACAGCTGTAAAGTAGGAGATCATATATTGTCATTTAAAATTCTCATCCGATCTAACTGCTCCTCTTCCTCACCTTCTTCTAATTTTATCTTTCCTGCCGATTGCCCCCTAGTCTCTCTATGGATCTAGAAGCGGTGCCTCGTCGGGAATATCTGGAGATCATCCATTCGAAGGTGACCTCGGCCCAACTGAAGATGATGTCTGCGAAGTTTGACATCCCTAAGGAATATAAGTTGTCCCTCCCAAAGGGAGAGGAGGCCATTTATGACCATGGGCCGGGGCGGCACCCACTCTATCTAAACCATTTGGAGTGTGGCGTGAGATTGCCTTTGCCTCCGTTGTTGAAGCAATTGTTCGAGGATTTGGGGGTTTCGCTGGCACAAATGAAGCCGAACGCCATAGCCATCATGGTGGCTTTTGTGGTTATATGCAGTTGGTTGAGCATCAAACCCACCACGAAGCTGTTTGCTTATTTCGTGGTTGTAAAGGCAAGTCAGAAGGAGGCCCACTATTACTTTCAGATGTTGGGGGTCCTTCAAGTTGATCGTAGACCTCCCAGATTCTCATAAGGAATGGAAGGAGAAGTTCGTGTGGGTGGCTGGGGAGGATTTGGAGATGGCCTTCTTTCCCGACGATATTAGTGAGCGAGGTTTAAGAGGGGGTTCTTCTTTAAAGATTTCTTCGGTCGCTTTCTCTTCGAATGACTTGGTAGCTGGTGGCTCCTCTTGGACCTCTCCAGCTTCGGTTGCTTCTCGTTCATAAGATAAATATTCATCCATCCCTGACAGGAGAGCCCTTGTAAAATCCTTTCTAGACTCATAAAGCTCTCAGATTTCGTGTATATAGGAAGTGTACATATTATACTCCGGAATCTGGGAAGCTTTAGAAAACTAGTCACAAAAATCAGAAATAGTAGAGCAGCTGGATGACAAGTTGGGCAAGATGAATTGCGCATGGGTCCCTCTGGCAGAGAAGAAAAACCAAGCGCGAGCCCCCTCATACAAAAGTTAGATGTGGGCTAATTGCGGATTAGGGTTACCAACATAAAGTTGGTCATACTC